TCAAAAATTGGTAAGTTTTGTAATTTGTTTATTTTGGAAGGAGACAAGGAAAGTTACTATAATCTTCAATCAAAAATGAACTTAGGCAAATCACCTACTACCAAATTTCGATGTTCGATTCAGGGTTTGAAAAACGAAACAAGTAATCTGTTATATAACATAATAGACAATACTCGTTTAAGAAAAAAGCGAAAAACTAATCAAACAATGTTTTGACTATAATTTGATACGAAACCAGCACAAATAAGTTATTAGCGATAAATTTGGGTGTTAGTGAAAATTCTAAGAACTAGTTGCTGAGCATACGTTTCGAATTTTTATTTGATCAAAAAGCAATTTTATCAGCAGTTAAAGAGAAAAACTTCAAATTCAGCTCAACCTAGGCTGATCTAAGGGGCAGACAAAATTTCACGGTATGAACACAACTTTATAATTGATCCAAGAATTTTACTGGGCGCAGTTGACTACCTATCAAGTCACGCAACCTTTGATGCACCAGAAATGCCAAAAAACGACGACCTGTTTGTAAAATAAAGTCGATCCCAACATTTAACTTAGATTGTAAAGGTATAATAATTTGAAAAAACGATTAGTTCCAACTTCGTCTGGCAAAAACATCTTACGCGAAAGAGTGTTGTTTCATTATCAAAAGATATCAGCCAACCAAAATGGGATATTTAATTTATTGAACGTGCGTTGATTAAATTAACAAAAAGTTTTTTTTTTTCAGTTAAAAAAACATCAAATAGGAAAAAAGTGAAAAAGCAGCAACTCAATTCAAAAAATGTCCCGAAGATTAGCGCGAACGCGGTTGACAGATGAAATGGAAGAAAAGAACAAAAAAGGGAGAGAGAGTCTGGTAGATCATTTCTTGAGAGATGGGTTTAATAATATCACGGTGTTAGAAAAATTGAACAAGCCTGAAAAGGCAAGACCGAAGAACTCGTAGCCATGTAGAGTCCATGTACGGAGTTGGGAGTAGCGGTGGGAAATAACAACTGATACAGACTGAGGAAAGGGCCAAAGATGTAGTAATACCGTCGTGGACAGACGAGGAGGACCACATCGAGGTTAGGAAGCTCAGCCTGTGCTCGACAACTGGGAGATCTGGGTTGGGCAGGCTGATATCGTCTTCACTGAGTTACACAGAGGTCGCAAAACTTAGATAAAGCGGACAAATTGATACACCAATCATGAAAACGTCAGTTGTGTGTACTCCCATCAGGAAGCCACCGATTCTAAAGATGACAAGCTCGTCATCAGTCTAACCATCAGTCTGTATCAGCACAAAGGCAGCTAAAATTGAAGCCCCTCAACAGCTAGGGTGAGGTCACAGCTAGGGTCGACATCAATACTGCCAGAAGTTTTCTTATCTTCGTTGCCAGCTCCACCAAAGGCTGGACTTTTGAGAAAGAAACAATCAAATCTGGAGAGTTGAGTCATCAGGCGGAAATGGAGTCAGACAGCAATGCAGGATTTTAATTGCCGCTTTTGTCAAACAGATCGTCAACTTGGGCAAAGAAATCTTTCTAGTTCTAAGGAAACCCAATCAGTCTATATATTAAGATTTTGGATGAGTAGAAAGAGGACCTGCCTAGGAGAAAGTCACCAGCGAAAAAGCTGAGAACGAGGATTTTTACGCATAAGTACGTAGGGAGACTAGAATTTTAAAAATTTTATAAATTCACTTGCTCGTGTAAATCTTTTAATATCAAGATTGAACTTTTTCCGCACCAAGAAGTGCGGTACATGACCAATCACATTGCAATCGATATACATGATAACAAGAATATTCGGTTAATAAGCAAGTAGCGCAGAATGTACCGGCCATAGTATTAAAAAATACAACATTTTTTCTGCCGGTTGTGATACTAATATCTGAACGAAAAACTAAAGCAAAAACATATTCGAAGGTATTAGTGAAAAAAGCAAAATGAACATTAATTGAATTTTTAATTTTTTCCAAAATGGCGTTGAAAACTCCAAAAACTAATTTTTTTTGAGTAAAACTAAAATTAGACCCAATTAAAACTAAGCATAAAAATTTTGGTCGCTTGCCTTATTTACACAAAATTATAACCAAAAATCAAGAGCTCTAAATGGATTTTTCTCAACATTTAGAACTTTTTCCAAAATTTTTTTCATACCACTGAAAGGGCTTTAATATGATGTAACACTCGACCAATTCCATTATTTTTTGTGATACATAGTTTTGCGTGGAAAACAAAAAAAGAAAACCACACACGGATACAAAGTTCAACCCCATTTTTCAAATGGTGGGATCAGAAACTTCAGTAATGGAACAAAATTTTCTGGTTAACAAATATCTGGTGCGGTGCTGAAACACAAGCATGTATAGTTGGTCTGCACAATCATCAACCCCTGACAGTTTATTTTTTCTTTTATCAATTTACCAAGCTTTTGCTGTTCAATTTTTTGGATTTTGTTTGTTTAATCACTGTTTTCAGTTCTATTTCAATGCGGTTTCGAATTGCATTCAAACTGAATTAGTATCCAAAAAATGACCAACAGAGCTACAATTAAGTTTTTGTTTATCATTAAAGTGAGCGTTTAAATATAAGAACCTGCACGTAATGTTTTAGGTTATCACACAGCGACATCCAAAAATTGAAATAATAGAAAAAAAAACAAAGTTCCAAAAAACTTTTTCTTTTATCCTCACAAAAAAAATTGCAGATTAAGAGGTAATTTGATAGCCTCTGGCAAGTTTTTCCCGGAAAAATCACATTTTCTGCAAAATATTATATTAATTTCAAAAACTGATAAAGTTTATCTCCTTTCTGTTCAAAAGTTTTTTTTCACTACAATCTGGATTCTATACAAGCAACTCAGACCATTCTGTTATCAGAGCAGTTTCAAATTTTTCTTCTTTGCTAATTTAACTTCAACAAGACTGCTCGAAATAGGACAAAACCCTGATTGTTCAGAGTGCCCTTTAAGTTTTCTCGAATTGTTGTATGTGTATAATGTTTTTTTTTCTTTTATTACTGCGCTTAAGGCGATGATTTTCAAAAAAAATTGTAAAGTCATCAGTTTTTTGAAAAATAAAATCTGCTGCATAAATTTTAAAAGGCAGTCGGAACAACCAGGATTTTGCCCTGATACAATACAAGCAATTTTTTCTGAGCAAAATGCAGTTTTTTAAATTGTTCACAAGAAGAGAAATAATGCTTTCATCAGGGTATAACTTCACCTGATCAAAAACTTTCCGTGCTTCTTGAGCTTCGCATCTGCAATTTTTGATTAAATTCAGCAATTTTCAATCAATTTGTAAAATATACGGATCTACTTATTACTCTACAATTACTCTACAATTTACTCTAAAGTTATTGTTCTGACTATCAAAAATGAGGCGCTCTGTATACAGGTGTAATTTAGTTTTTTCCACGCAAAATCAGGTACCACAAATAATAATCGGCCAGGGTTGAGTGATATACCATATTAAAGCCCTTTCAGTTGTTTTCATAATCCCTTTCATCGTTTCAAAAAATTTTCCCAGTGTCAAGAAACGTCAAGAAAAACCGCTTTGAAATTTTTTAATTTTTTGTCTTAATTCGAGCAAATAAAGCAAGCGAGCAGGCTTAAAAGCTAAATTATGCCTAATCTAAGACCTTAAAATTGATTTTTAAGCAACTAAAATTAGTTTTAGTTTCTTTTCAAACAAAAAAATTTTACTTTTTTTTTTAGTTTTTCTAGTCATTTTTCTTCATAACTTCTTGTTCATTTTGCCCTTATTACTATGACTGTCTAATATGCCTAATTTATATTTTTACATCAGATCCTTCCATCACACCAAGCTGGAAAAAACTTTCTAAACTGTAGTTATCTAAAGACTACGGCTAGCCTTATTTTTTATGCAAATGTTTTTTGTTTCGACCATTGAAAAAGACGAAGAGCAAAATCAGTAACTTAAATTAATCATCGGAATGGGTTGAGCATTATATGCTTTTAAAAGCTTTTCAGTCGTCATTCAAACAACATAAGATGTTCAAAGAAGAATTCCCCTTGTGGAGAATTTTTTTTGTTGAAATTTTAGATTTTTGTTCTATTTTCGAGCCAAGAAGGTGAGCAAGCAGGCTTATGTTGTTTATAAATCATAAGTATTAACCGCAAATAATCATCATAAACAATCAGATAATTTTTGGAGTGAATTGAGTGATGTATCATATTGAATCTCTTATGGATCTGATTCGAACGACATTAAAAAAAAATTTCAAAATATTGTCAGTCTTGAAAAAAACGGTTTGAAATTTTTCAAAATTTGTACAATACCGAGCGTGGAAAACAAACGAGCAGGCTTATTATTGAAATATAGGATTTGAAATTTTAGTTGAGGTCCAGTAATATTGTTTTTTATTTTTCAAAGATTATTTTTTAGAATAAATAATTTTGAAAATTTGTTCAATTTTTCTTGTCATTTTTCGCCAAACATTTTCGCCTGATTGGTTTATTTTACTCTATCGATTATACCCTAAATTCTAGATGCTCGTCAGCTCCATTGAGTGCAAAAAAAATATTATGAAAAAAAATACATGAAAAAGCGTTTCATATATTTTTTAAGAGTACGGTCGAAACATTCTGTGTTTTTTGCACATCAACTGGCTATACGTGTTAATAATTTACAACTCTGATGTCTTTTTGCATGGTAATTTTATGCCATAATTACTTCATTTATACCGTTGTGTATGTAGATTGAAATGCTCTGAATTCAAAAACTGCAAGTTTTAGGATTCGTAAGTTTCTGTTTTTATTACATGCTGATATACAGATGAAAAGTTTTATCTGATTCTCGTTGCAGTACCATTTTTGTCTTCTCCGTCTTAGCGATAGTGTTCTTCTCATCTGTGTTAGCTCTAAAAATATCTGATTTGATAAATTTTAGGTGGTCTTGGTCACTGGTGCTTTCAATTATAAGTGTGTTCAAGACTAAGTAAATTGAATTAAAGATTTGGCAAAAAATTTCTTAAATGAAATTGTGCTTAGTCTAAAATTATAAGTCTGTGTGGGTCACACAGCAGAGGGTATTTGATCTTTGTTGATCTAATCCACGGTATGTCGCTTGAACCGTCTTCTTCCTCAAAAGACCAATCATTGTCATTGGCATGTGAATTATTAGCCGAATTGTCTATTTTAGACCTTGGTGATTTTTGATAACTGTCCTGCGATTCAGAATGTGATGAAAGTTGGAGCCCATTGGCATTTGAAGAATTATCTTGAAATTCTTTGTTAGAGAAATTGTCCGTCGTTTTTCCGTTTTTTGAACCATGATTCAAGTTGAGTTCATTATTGACGTTCGCGTTCGAGAAGTTGTTCAGCACTTTTTTCCGAATAGCAATTTCCTTGTATCCCTGCTTCATGCTGGACACCAAAACAGGTATCTCTTTATCATACAGGTGGTTGTTCAATCTCAACTCTTGTCGCTTTTCTATTTTCTGAATGGGAGGTGATACATTATTGCTAAAACCTGTTTCTTGCTTGGTCGAATAGAAATTGTCAATAAGTTTGGCAGTTGGCTTTTGTGGCGAATGTTTTTCGTGCTTAGTATACGAGTTGTAAACGTCCTTATTATATGTTTTCGGAGACTGATTTTTTTCTATTGGTTTGAAAGTTTTTGCTGGTTTCTCTTTTTCGATCTGCCTATTTTTCGACGGTCCGAATATTTCTTCTTCTGGTATTGTACTGTCAGGTGTCAATATTGTGTCATCAATTGTCTTCCCACACCTGCTGATTTCTTCCAGAACATTCTTGCTGTAACCTCTATCTATCGTAGAATTTCGGCTTACTTGACGTGGCGAATTGCTTTCGATGCTTTGAATTTCAAGTGATGAGGAATTTTCGTTTTTTGTTCTTTGGTTTTTCTTGTTGGATACTTCGACTGAATGCGAGTTTGTGATTTTTGGTTTGAAGCTAGACCCCGTATGATTCAGAGTTTCCTTTTCAACTGATGGCGAGTTGGTGGTTTTTGAATCGAAGTTTGATCCCGTATGATTCAGAGTTTCCATTTCAACTGATGGCGAGTTGGTGGTTTTTGAATCGAAGTTTGATCCCGTATGATTCAGAGATTTCATCACAACTGATGGCGTGTTGGTGGTTTTTGAATCAAAGTTTTGGGATTTCAACACTTCAGCTGTTGGGGAATTTCTGTTTTTTAATTTGGTATTTGACCGTGTAACATTTTGAGAACTTATCTCATTCATTATTGGTGGGATGCTGCTTTTTGGTGTCGACCTATTTTGAGGTTGCTTTTCAGAACTTGAAGATTTGTCAAACTTTGATTTGGGATGTGACCCGACCTGAATCATCATATCAGCGCCATCCTCGATGATTGTTGGCTTCAATTGTAAGGATTCGGTTTGAATTCCGTCAATTGGTTCTGGTTCGTTTTCCCATTCTTGGATACAATCCTCGTCGGCGTAACTGAAGTCGAACTCGAGTTCGAAGCACGAATCGGGAGATCGGCATACATCTCCAAAACATGGCTGAACACCTTTCCGCTGTTTCACGTAACTTTTGTCCTCACTCTTTGCGTAGAACAGCACACAGTCGTCGCAACATTGACTCTGAAGCTGTTCCAAATGGGACCCCGTCAGGATTCGAACCCGCTTGTTTGTTTTGGGAATCTTTTTTATGACGTCATTGGATACTTTATTTGAGTCTATGGCCGCACTCATTTGTTATTTGAGTTATTTCGGTTCAGTTCAAGTAAATAGCAAGGTTAAAGTCAACCTAAATATTGAAGATCACTCGATAAATATTGAAGGTTAAAATGTTCCTTGGAACTTTTATGGGTAGAAATTATTCAAGTATAACTTCCCTCAAGTGCAGTTGTTTGAGGTTAACATGATTTTTGAAGTTATTTGGCGAATAAAACGATAGATTATTAATGACAAGATAATTCTCGCAGTGCGAAGGACGTTTAAGGCATTTTGAAGCGATTCGGATTCCTTTTGTTTCTGGTTTAATAGATTAGTTTTGCCTTGGGATGGATTTACAAGCGTTCCGTCTTGATTTTATGACTATGAATCTTAATTTCCTAACAACAGAGAACAACATAGCAGCTCCGTTGCCTAACCAAATGGTAAACAAAAGCTAATGGTCTACAAAGAAGCTTCAATGCTTTCAAGAAAAGCTAAAAGGTTACAATAGAGCGGACGTGCCGTGCCCCCTATAACGAGCAAACGAGAAATTTATTAGATTTTAGTATTTATTTGCTGAAATTATATATCGTTTCTGATCATTTTTTGATTTTTTAAAAAGGTCAAGTTAAAACGTTACATGAACGAATTTAGAATTTCAGTGAAAGGGAGTTTCAAATTTCTTAGATAATAAGCATTCTTTTTTCAAATTCAACAATTTGATGTTCCTCTAAGTGGCACAAAAAAGCTTTAAAGAAACTTAGTTTTCATCTTGCCAAAAAATAGATGACTTTCAGCCTACCAACTAATTTAAGCCTTTTGAAGCTTTCTAATTTTAAAAACTACAGCATTTAAAAACGAGTAATCATTATTGAGTCCAAAATCAGAGTCAGTTTCCTTCTGGCAAATCTCACTCGGAAAACAATTCTTTTGTTATCATTTCTTCTTTCCTTTCCCGAACTTCTTTGCGAAGAAACGCGACACTCTCTTGTGAACTAAAAGCAAAGTTTTTAAATACAATTTCTTGCTATAGCTTGGAACTAATTATTTCAGACTGCTCGACAAAGGTAGATTTGAGGTCTCTTTAACTTACGCTTCTTTTGCTTTCGGGAGTATCCGTTCCCAATGTCATTGACGTCGTCACCGTTCACAGACTCCTAAAGCGACAACAAAGCGATGAGGAAACAAGTGAGGAGGAAACAACTGTATCAAATAAAAGTATCAGGTGGGACATGAAACTTGATCCCTTATGCTATAGAATCGCAGGCAAACACAGTAGATCAAAACGGACCTGATCATTGTGTGTAGCCTTAATTGTGTGAAGCCCTGATCCATCAAAATCTTCAGAACTGTGGCAGAACTATGTACATGTAAATATATAATTTAGGTTTTATATATATGTTCATTAATCTATGTCCACTTCACGAAACGAAAGTAGGAAACTATGGCGTAGGTTGTTTGTTTTTGTAGAAAAGCTTGTATGGCTTCAAGAGAAGTATTTTACCAGCGGCCTATTAGTAGCAATTCAGATTCCGATGAAAATTCACAAAAAATGCTTCAAGGTCTCAAAAATTGGTCTGACCTTTTCCTTTTTTCAGACTACTGCAATTTATATACTTTTTTGAAGATTTTGATGGATCATTATTTTGCAGATGTTTTGAGCTTATTCAGTCGCTCTTTAAAAGAAAAAATACAAAATTTAGCTAAAACATGAAAACAATACAAAATTTAGCAAAAAAATGAAAAAGAATAATTGACTTTTTTTAGTTCTTCTTTGACTTTTGTTCTGATCTTTGAATTCATCCATTTCAATAAATTTGGTCGAAAAAGTCTGTCCTTCTTGTTGGTTGCTCGTTATTCAGATGTTCTGTTTTTCTAGTTTTTGTTTTGTTTGAGCGCAATTATCATTATGATTTTGAATGGTAAAGTTTTGATTTACTTCATCATTTTTCAGAAAAAGTCTATAAACACCATTATAAATAAAACTCTCAGTCAGAGTAAAACTTGAATAAAATGCCTTAAGACCTGAAAAAAAATCTAAATAAAATTCCTTTTCAAAATTAACTCCCAACAACTGCAGATCTGTGAAAAAAAATGTGCGTAGCTTTGTTTTTTAATTCCAGTTTCGTTGTAGAAAAACTAAGCTACTTTGAATTTTTATTTGAAACGTTTATCTGAATGAAAATTTAATGGGTCTCATAAAAATAGTATTAGTTATTCTACTTCAAATTTTTTGTCGAAATCGAATTGTTTCTGAAAACTAGTCTTAAGTTTTGACAGAAATCGACACGTGTTGGCTGACTATCGGAAAAAAAACGCTTGAATCAACAGCTCCTTTCTTCTATCGAGGCAAAATTCGTTATTGCAAAAAAAATGCCATCAATGATTTTGTGATTAAAAGTTTTTCTCAAATTTTGTGATCGTTTGTTACTAAAGCCCGTTTCATCACACATGCAGCGCTGATAACCATTGCGCAGAAAACTTTTTTGAAAAACCAGATTTATAAACTTCTTTTGATAAAATTTCTATATAATTACTTTTATTCTGAAAAAAAAAGAAAACAATTCATATCAAAACGCTGCTGTCTGCCAATTTTTCATTTATCAAAGCAGTCAAAACTTAATAAAATCCGTGCTCTGCTGAGATTATAATGAGCTGAAAACAACTCATAAATCATAACTTTTTAAGGAAATTTTGTTTCTCATCATCATCAGGTCTTGAGAACGAAGCTATTTGAGCAATTTTTGATTTTTTTTTCATTTGCTAAATTTGTTACATCTGGGTTACACCAAAGTCGTTATTTATGCCCGCGCTTGTTATCATAAGGGAGCACCAAGGGAGCGTGTCAAGGTTGTTACATATGCCAAGGGTGCTACCATCAGTGGCTAGTTGGCTAGTTGCTCGAATCGAATTGTTTCTGAAAACTAGTCTTAAGTTTTGACAGAAATCTTTTAGAAATAAAGAGAACAATTCATATCAAAACGCGTTGTCATCTGCCAGTTTTTCATTTATCAGAGCAATCAAAGCTAAGTAAAATCGGTGCTCTGTTGAGATTATAATGAGCTGAAAACACTTCGCAATTTTAAGTTTTTTACAAAAACATTGTTTCTCATCGTCATAAGATCTTAAAAAAGGAAACTGTTTGAGCTACCTTTGAAAGTTTTCCCGTACGTCAAAAATAAATCAATTTGATTTCTTGGAAATCATACGATGCAACAACAGTAAGAATTATACATTGGATGATAATCTCAAAATTAGAACTTTGTTAGGTTTTGAGGTTGTTTCCCCTCAAATTATATTATAATAAAATATGCAAAAAAAAAAATTTTTTTTTTCATAACATATGAAAAAAGTGCATTATTTGATAATGCCGCGAAAGTTTTAAGCAAAATTATAGAAAACTTATAATTTTAAGAAGAAAAAGGAACACCAAAAAAAATTTTGAAAAAAGTTTTTTACACTTTCATATATTTTTTTACAGCCTATCTTAATTACATTAGAAGTTCCTTATATTTATCTTTGCGTATTCATTCTCTCCGACGGTGAGACTGTCTCTCTGAATCTCTAAGATTTCAACTTCGATTTTCCTTAATTTTTACGCTCTACAATTTAATCATTTGTGAACATGTAGAATTATTTGTTACAAAAGATTATAATATCATGGTGCAGTCAAACAGTAACGAAAACAAACTCCCTTTTGTTTTAATCACACCGTAGACCCAATCATTGCCGAGTGATTTTTTTCGTTTAACTTTTATCGTAGAAAAAATAATAGACATTGAGAATTTGCTAAATTCGATAGAAAGACACCACCCACACTATCCAACACTAGAAAATCAAATGGATGGTGATAACAAGCAAAGAGAAACGCAAGAGTCGAGAGCAAAGCCCGCGAACAAAAAAGATTTGACGACAAAAGAAAACGTATCAATCAAAACGGAGACAAAGCGTTTAAACGTGATGCCAATAGACAAGATGGACAAAATATTTCGATCAACGTTTTTCCTCGCATGGGGAACAAAGGTAAACGTACTCGTGGTCAAAACATCACAGAGGCCAAAGTCATCCGGATTTCATTCAAAGCATTCTGAAAGTTTTCAGCATCCTGTTTAGTGAGGAAGACTAACGTGACATTTCAGAGACATAAATTGCTTAACAACAAAAAAAGACAAGGAATCGTTAGAACGTCTCTAAGGAGCCTTAGCTGAAATGCTGAAAAAGTGTGATATCAACGCTGGAGATGGTAGGTTTAGGAATATTTTCTTAAATAATATTAGAACAACTTTGACATCCAAGGAACATTTATAATCGAAATACTACCCCCATTAGAAGCTCTATATGTCAAACTCATTGACGAAAAAAATTATTGACTAAATGAAAATGACGAAAATTTTTTAATCCAACGGATTTTCTGCGCATTAGTTTTTTAACATTTTTAAAGTCAAAAGGGAACCAACTGTAAGTTAAGAACGCAACAATAATTGTATGAAATGTGGCTGTACATTTTAAAGAGGACCCCTAGCAATATGCTCAGCAAGAAATTCAATTTGTACATCTTGTTAGTTTAAGGGTCAAACCACCAAACTGATTAAGGGTCTCTTCACCAACTTAAGGGCCACTTCACCTATCTTGTTGTAAAAATGTAGATATTCCAAATTTTGCAAAAATATGGGTGGTCGTGACATTTTGTGATTTCTTCGTAACATTTTGTGGTTATGCTTGTTTATTTTAACAATTTATTCAATCAAAAGGACCAAGAAACAAATTGTTAGCTTTAGTCGGCAGATTAACATGACTGATTCTTATGAATTAAGCTGAAAGTAACTCACGACGAAGTCCCATTGGAAGTCGTTGTTCATGGCCTGCTGGTGTTCTATCATGCACTGCCAGAGAGAGTTGATGTCTGCCTGGTACATGACCAGACTGTTCTGGTACTTGACCAGCTGGTCTTGCACACTCAACAGATCCTCCCTGGTCTTCTTCGCCACATTCTCCCTACTCATGACGTCATTGCCCGAATCAGTCCATCTTGTCTTCAGTGACGTCATCAGCTCAAGGTACGATTTGGTGACCTATGCAGTTTACGAATTTAGGAAATTATATGTCATCATCAGTTTTTCGATTATAGTTTTCATCAATCAGGCTTTTATCCAGTAGCGGATTTCGGGGCGCGGGGTTTCCAGATATTTTACCCCTTCATCACTCAAATATCCCTTTTGATATTATCTTTCGACAATTTTTTTGGCTGACCAATCTTGTATTTTTAGCGTCCATAAATTGTAATTTTTTTTGGACCAAACCTCTAAATTAGAGCCAAAAATGGCGGTATTTTTAGTGCTTTGAGAAAATTTTGGACTTTTTTGAAAATCTGCCTCCCTCGAGATAATTTTAGATCTGCGACTGCTTCTAAGCCTAAGAAAAGTGATATGAAAGCACAAAATTGATTACTCGTTAACACCTTCATTGCAAAAAGCGTAATTCGTGACTAGGTACACTAGTTGCAAATTTCTAGTCGTGGAATTAGTTTATTACAGTTTTTTACTGTTTATGATTGAATGCGGTAGAGATGAAATAGCCAAAAAGATCCCAAAAAATTATTCAAAACTTGTTTTGAGCTGATCTCACCTTGGTTTGCATGTACGTGAATTGTTTCATGTGTGCATCAACATCGGCCTCGCCAATAACTTCTTCGTGCGTCGGTTTTTTGTCCATCGAAGGCCTCGATGAACCACTGCTCGTAGATGTTTCATCTTAACAAAAACATCGCAGAAAAAACTAAAATTATATATATATTTGTAAGCCAATTAATTGATTACTTTAAATTCAGAAGTATTATTCTTTTTCAGAAAAATTCGTAACAGAATGAATAAGAATTTTGACATTGGGTTTGGCTTACGAAGACTGCTCTTGTACTGTTCTAAAAGTGTCTTGAATTCTGTGATGGTGGAGTTCTTCTGAATGAGGCCGCTGAAGTCCGGATCTGTCATAAAAATCTAACAAGCAAATCAAAAAAATTATCAACAGATAAGTAAAATTATTCTGTTAGAAATAGTAATGTTAAAATGGTGCACACCTTGATGCCTGCTTCCGCGTGATCGATTAGAAGTTCTTTCATCTTCAAATCAGACACATGTTTACTCTCTTCACTCAACTCTTTCCACTTTTTCCTGAAGCAAAATTCAAAGTATCAAAAACCTGACTTCAGGCGAGGATTTAAGATTTTATCGAAGGGGTTTTCTCATTAAAAATTTTTGAAATTGTCGGCAAAACTGATTTTCTGAGGTTTTTCAGAAAACTATATTTTGCTAAGCTTAGCTTACAGTGCATTAGGTGAGTTTTTTGAGGCAGGCCCAAAACTTTAAGACCTCTCGGTCAAAAATGGACACTATAAAATAAAATTAAAGGTGGTTCTTTGCATGGGAGCACACAACGTTATTATTCAAAAAATTTCAGAAATACTCGAGCGCACCAAGAAATGCGATTTTGTGTAATGCGGTTTTGAAAAATTAATTGCGGCTCTCAATAAACTTTTTAGATATAGTGTTAATCTAGTAATTGTACAGAGCTGGAAGAATTGAGTTGGGGGGAGCCAGTATATGCCCTCGTACCATATGGTTTTGGTGACTGGGTTGAGTGGTGCCTTTTCGTTGCATTCCCCCTGTAAGAACAGCTTCCTCAGAGCAGCACACGCCAGCAAGTGCTCCTTCAGCTCCGGCTTCTTCTTCACCTTCAACTTGTACTTGGTATCTGTAAACAAAAGCTGTGATACCAACTGGTTATTTCAGATGAACTTTCTCAAGTTGATATAATTTCTTATTAATTACTTGAGCGGAGGCACTAAATGTTTTAACCTGGCGTCAAAAACGACCACAAGTTTTTGTATTCCACTTTTTTCTCAACAGTAATATCTATTAAAGAATTCAATCAAGGCATAAAAAGGGAGAGGATCAAATTTCTCAGATTATTTTTTCTAAAAACTATTTTTTTTTTCGGCCAAAAACTCTCTGAACTGCTAAATTTGACGCTCCGGTGCCCATCAATCTTGTGCGCAGGCTCAAATTGCACGTGCGCTGCAATTTGCAAGGTGAGGTTTTGTTTAATGTCATAGCCTAATGGGCACTTGTTATATGCGCTCTTCTCAACTTAACTAGTTTACCTCCGGGTTCGGCCTCCGGGCTGGCTGACTAAAAAACACTATACCTTGTTGCCAGTTAATTGGGTTTTTCAACATACTGAATACTGAGGGTTTGAAAAACAAACTTTTTTCTCGTACCATCAAGGACTTTTGAAAACCAAAACAAGATTACAACTGTTTAATAGATGGTACAGAAGAGTTTTTGTCGCCCACCATGGCTATTTTACTGATCACGCAGTATGTTTGAAGTCTGCGTTACAATTTTTATAAAAACCTTAATTTTATTTTTGGTCCGACTGTAATATATTTGTTTCGATTGGTTTTGTCATTCAGACCAATTTCGGTGATCGAATTTTAGTTGGAAATCAACCAGTTTTATACCACAAAAAAGACATCTACTCCCTCAGTTCAAATGTAAGAAAATGTTTCGCCTAAAAAAATTTATGACAGACTTTTTGTACCATCTGGAGTATATTGTTATCCTTGAGAATATTGTTGTCCTCAGAAAAAGTATCTATGATCATTTTTTTTGGAAGTTTAAAAATAGCTATTTTGGCCGATTTAATGAAGACTTGGGAGTTTAAAAATAGCTAATTTGGCCAAATTACGGTAACTAACGAGCGATATTTTGAGTTCTTATAACCTGCGTAAGCCGCAGATAAAAACGATTTCGAATTCTTTGAAGCTAGTCAATTGATGTTTTTATAGGGATAAAAGACGCTTAATGCAGCTAAACAAAGCGGGTAATTGGATAAATTGAAGAAAAAAAGAAAAAAAAACATTTTTGATCACTTAATCAATTTTTAGAGAATTTTTTTTTTAATTGGCTGCAAAATGCAGACTCAGGGATGTGGTCTGATGAAAACGTGAGTGCAATGTTTTTCAGCGTGGTAATTTTTCTTGCACACACAATATTCCAAACTTAATTGAAGCAAGCCAATTCGTAATTTTAATTCTCATGCGACTCAGGTTTGTATGACTTCCTATTTGCTCCGACTTTCGATACAAAAGTAACGGAATATTTGTGCTCGGGGTGGGTTTTTTTTTCTTCAGACAAATTTCGACTTTTTAACTAGCCATTTTTGACGGAATTTTTTTATATCATTCAAAAAATATTGTTGTCCTGAGCTTAAATTTGAAAAGATATTTCACCTGTGATTATTTTTTGTAAAGTTATGAGGGTTTAAAGGCTGCCATTTTGGCCATTTTGACCAATTTGGGACAATTAACGCGCGATATAATTCGAGTTATTAACGCGTAAGCGGAGATTTAATCCCTCTTAAAAAAATCGTTCCAAATTGGTTAAACGAAGCTTATTTGCCATAATTGATTTGTTACAAGGAACGAAATTTATCCTTTTGTACTTTATATGGCGTGTGGGGGGATGATTTTCATTGAAAAAATTTCAAATTTTAGAAGAAAAAAATTTCATTTTATTTTATTTCATTTAATTTTTTTATGTATTACTGCTGCTCAATAAACCTTAAAAGGCAGTCGCAACATTCAGGGCTTCTCCCTGTTACGAGCAGTCTTGTTTCATGTTTACGACAATTTCTGTTAGAAATGCGCGTAAAAAATTGGCATTTTTTGTTTCATGTCGCAGGATGAGTTTTCATCTATTTTGTTCGTTTGATCAATTTTTCATCACTTCAATTAACTTAATGAGAATTTTGACGTCTGTTTCTGAAGTTACATTTGCTTGGCACTCTGAAGGTATATTTTGAGACCAATGATAAAGTGACTGAAGCCTCCGCTGTCGAAAAAAAAATGTTCATGTTTTAAGGACCAAGGGTCTTATGCGTTAAACGGCCCAAAATTAGGAAAATAGTCAGAAATTCTATTTCAAATTGAAAACACGTAATCAACATACAATTACTTCAGTTATTACATATTATACGAGCCAATCAGGATTAATCTCAGTATCAATCGAAATGGCCGACCTAGTTGCTCGAATTTGATTGGCTAATATTAGCCAATCAGGATCAGTTTCAGTTTTAGTTTTCATTTTGCTTCAATTTTGATTTTTGGGCCGTTTAACGCATAAGACCCAAGGACCAATTTAATCCACGACTAATTAGAAAAAAAAACAAAATAAGGAAATTTTATGAAAACCAAGCCGCTCTTAACTGGAAGCCAAGCATCGCCTCTCTGTAAAGGCATGCGCAGCTGTTAATTTTGAAACTTCACGCGGAAACTCAAACGCGTATACTTTATAAAGAATAGCAAAAACAAACGCTGATGAAAACATATCATATCAATAGATGAGTCGATTGACGCAAGAAATACTATCCATGATTTAGGGATTGCTTATTATAATGGAGATTATCAATGGATGTTTGATCAGTGATTAAGTTCCCACTTTTATCTTAGAAAAAATATACTTTTCTGTCTTAATCGACTAAATTAATGAACGGATCATAATATCTCACCGATAGAGCTTGACATCTCCTTGGCCATGTGCATGAGTTTCTTAAGGAGTTCATCACTCCGATTGTTGCCACCCCCTCCCACACGTAACTCCCCCTCGCCCTCGTAGTCTGAGCTGAGGAAGAAGCGACTGTCCTCCTCCGCTATGTCACAGCCAGGGGAAGAGTACTGCTGACTCAGACACTTCTGAGACCTGGAATAGTCTCACATGTTTTGACGTGTTCTTGTGATGCTTATATAGCAAATAGGGTCTGAACAACTTATGATTTTTTCGAATTGCAATTCGAAGAAAAGGGTGTTAAGCTATGGATTGATCTAAAAGTGGCGTCAAATTAGCAGTTTTGTTTTCAACTTACCGTCTGTTGATGCTTTTCCGCTTTAAATCCTCTAAGCTCTCGCCCAGACTAGACTTCCTCTCCCTGATTGTGATCTGTTCCCCATCCAGCCCCATAGTGATTGTCAGTCTCTTTCCAACTTCACCTGGGGGTCCCGCCGGTTGCTGTTGGCAAGCCCGATTGACGTCACTTGAGGGGTGTTGCTTCGAAGGCTCACTCACCTTTCGTATTTCTTCCTAGAGTGATAGCGGAAAAGTTAAGGCAAGTTATCTATCATAGTTAATGATAATTAGATAAAAGAGTAAAATTTGATCAAAATATTGTAATAGTTTTGCTGATTAGATTTGAATGTAATTTTATAATGATAACCAACCTCAAATGAAATTTTATGTCATTCAAATGACTTTTGAAATTGTTTAAATATGAGCTCCCACATTATGATAAAAAATGGACAAACAATCGGAAACTGGTGCCCAGCGGTCAATGGGCAGGACAATTTAATAGCCCAACTGCCGCATTTCATACTGAATTATGCTGTAATACTTATTGTTTTCCACTTTCATCCTTTCATCCTTTACGGGAGCAGTTTTTATCATACTCTTATTATACTTCATTTGATTCGATTTTTTATGACGCACAAAAAGTCCCAAAGGTACTCCAGGGGGCCAAAATGTTTAAATTACCAAGCCAATTTTTTAAAGTTTTTCTGCGTCATCAATCATGTCGGAGCCGGCTATATGCGTTCATTAGCGAACAAGAATGGGCTAGCTTTTTTTCGGAAAAATTAATTCATGTTCCATAATAAATTTTTTAGCGAATCATTAAAACTTAAAAATTTATCGGTAGGAACAGCTGAAAAAAGTAGTATAGAATTAAAATGAGATAGCAGAATTAAATTAAGTTGCCATCAATTACTATTTGTAGAAGGGGCGGATCTAAGATTTTCTCGAGGAGGGAGGCTTTTCAAAATAATTTTGAAAAATTGTCGACCTTTTTTTTAGGTCGACCAAATTGATTTCCGACCTCTCCCAAAGCAATAAAAAGGCCTTGTTTTGACCAAATTTTTTGTGCCGCAGGCGAAGTTCTGAAAAAAAAACAGACCAAAAAAGTTTTAGGAATTTTTTGGAAAATTTTGACTAAAAAATCGCATTTTTTCGGCGCGCGCTTCCCCTCAAATTTAGTATAAATTTGGCAGCAAATGCTCTTTTCAAAAACTTTTAGGGTCCGTCAGCCAAAAATGGATATCTCAAAATACTATAAAGGGGCCCCTGCTTTTCATTTAAAAAGTAAGCTAAGCTTCATCAAGTTTCAAGTGATTAATTCTGAAAAATAGAGAATTCAGATTAATACTTTCCACACAGACGGGATAATTTTCACAACGTCAATGACAACTGAAACGTAATTCACAATTAAACTACTGCGAGTTTTTTAAGCGCTGACAAAATTGGCTGGAAAAAACCAACCTACCCTACGCTGTAGTCTTATCACACACTAATCAGACGGACGGTTCATCTAAAAATGACTTACATCGAGCCGTTCAGCTCTCTGCGGTCGAGCGCCGATAAGCCTCTGGTAAAAGATTGCACGCAATTTTTTGTTGAATTGTTGGTTCTGTTTTTTATGTGCCATAGTAACGTAATCCTAAGATTGATTAGTCAACAAGTTAGGTAGTACAGCAAACAAACGGTCACTTCCAAATTAGTTCAATTTTGGAAAAATTAGTTTTTTTTTATGTCAGAAAAAAAAGATGAAACAAAAACGGCAGATCCATCTCCCTCATCATTGGGACCGCTGGGACTGATGTTATGAAACTCAGAGGGGCGATACTAGAGATGGTTTGACTGCTTAAATCCGGACCGCTTGAATCCCTAGGTTAAGTGATAACGGCTCCCGGAAGTGTAAATGGCCCTAACAGAACTCGAAAATTAGCAATTGGAACGTCTCCAAACTTTAGTATGTTATAAAACCCAAACTAAATAAGCTTAACTATGGAAATACAATAGAACCCTTGAACCCCCGCTTCCAGTTTTAAGCCCTAAGTAAACAAAACCCCACCACTAATTTCCGAGTGTTTCGACCCTAGAAGAAGGTAGAAAGCTGAAGCATCGAGAGATATAGGCAAGATATATCATATTTTATAGTTTCAGCCATTTTTAGCAGTTACTTAGGAGGTTTTTAGCATTTGGAAAAAAAAGTAGATAGGAAAATAACACTTTATGCCGGCAAAGTTTACTAGTCTCAACTGCCTGGAAAAAAATCTAATGAACCAATCCTTCCGGTATCATCTTCCAGTGTTAATAGCCATTTCCCTGCAAAAGGGAAAAAGGACCTTAGAAGCTGAGGAACTCTTGATGCATTATTCGAATACGGATGAAAACTGGTAGACAAAATTCCGACTCTAAATATGGGAGATTGACCACGTGTGACCCCATGATGACCTTTAAATGACGTTTTAGCGTTTACGCCCAAAACTATTTAGGAAAACCCAGGATTAAGGGGTGCATTAGAAAACTTGGGGTCTAAAGAAAGATTTTCTTCTTTGTCAATTCTGTAGGAATGGTGAAAAAGTTAAAGTGGACTCGGTAAGAATTCGATTGAGCTCAGCTATGAAAATTAAGCTATTAATAGCAGCTCAACTAAAAAAAGTAATCTCAGAAATATTTGCATTACTAGGAGCGCGATATGGGAAATAAAACTCAGAATAATATGGAAACTCAGTGGGTAAGCCGCAGGCTTAATTTGACCCCTAACACGCGAAATGCGTCCCTCTAATAGCTAAAAGGTTGCAATCGGAATAGAGAATAGATTTTATTTTTAGATAGTTGAATTGAATCAGTTTCCCATCAAAAAGTCTTCTGCTACGCCGGCAAGTAGGAAACGCATACTCAGTACTAAATTGAAGACCATAGGAGGCTCACTGAGTAAACATAGCACGAATTGGCGGTTGAAATGAACTCGGGGGCTAGAGTTTACTGTGTTGAACTCAGGAAACCGTTGGTTAGGACATTTGTTTGATTGGGTCAAATGGTGAGACCGACCGCATTCCCGTACCTAAAAAACCTGACAAAAACTGTAAGACAAACTTGCCACTTGTCAGCATTGACAGGGGAAGGAAACTTGTCATAGAACATGTGCGAAGGAGCTAATTAGGCGGATGTTAGAGCTGGCAGGGAATGACGTGACTTAACTAAAATTAAGTGTAAATAAAGATAAGGACCTAGAGAGTACTGGAGATCATCCGAGAGGGAGAAAAATTCATAACTTTTAGCGATTGGCTAGATGATTCTCGATTAGTTAGATAAACTGAATGAGACTAAGGCTTAAGATCTTAAGGATAGCATTTTAGAAAAATGACTTCATAAAAAGAAACTATAGAGTATTGACTTGCCGTAAGCACACGAACTCTTTCTCTAAAGCAAATTGATTAATTTCTTCTTAGTTAAAAAAAAGTTTTCATTATTTGGTGTTTTACTTGAATTCTAAACCCTTGTCGAAATTATTGCAACTCAAGGTAAGAGGAAACCGTCAAAAGAGTATCACGAAAAAGGGCAGTCAACATAATACAATTAAGAGTAACATGCCACCTTTGGTAAATGTTGCAAAACACTGTAGGAACCACCACGGATCAATCTGGACCTCGAGTTTCCAACCTTCTGATTGAAAAACAGTAGTTTTAGTCAAAACAAATTTGGCAACACAAAAACAAAACCAAAAAACGAAAAAAAAACCACTCAGATTTTTGCCCTGATATGCGAGCAGTTGTTCTGATTTATTTATGCTTGGGTATTTTTTATTTAGTCGTTAAATTTTTGTTCAATTTTTTAAAACAATTTCAAAAGGAAAAATTGTTATTGGATCTGGAAATAAAATTTAAACAATATTGACTTTTGATTTTTAGTAGAAGTAGTTCACTAAAAGAAACTATGCTCGTTGATAGAAACTTTTGTTTCAGTTATTACCTATAAGTATAAGCCGCAGATCTGGTTTTAGCATAGATCATAGTCGAACTAGTCCTATAGTGGGAACGACAGTTATATAAACAGATGAAATAAACAGGATGAAAAAAAGATAGCCTGAAAAGCTAAACCTGAATCAAATTTAGTTTGGATTATTCTTCACTGCTATTTAGATTTCAGTTTTAGTTTAATCTCTTTTCCTCTTTTTGATCAGCAGAAAATTAGTTGCAATTCTGATATATATATATGAATCAAATCATGGTTTAACTTGGCAAATCTTAAGGTTTTCACCTGCTTTAGTTACTTAAGTGTTCCGAGTTCTGTGATTTATATGTTTTCAAAGCCAAAGGATTGGCATGTTCCGCTTAAATGGAGTCGTGAATGATTATTAGGTTACCTTGACCATCCCAAATGATCGTTCAGTTGAAATTTGATCCTAATTCTAGTTAAAAAGAAGTTTTATCATTGAGTGTCAAGATGTGAACAAATTTTATTAGACGAAAATCCACTCATAAACAAATAAATCAACCGTTTTAATTTTAAAGTAGCATTCCGATGGTTCCCCCCTTTTCTAACTCTAAACAACTTAACACCCTACAATTTCACTCACTTCTTTTTGTTGCCTTAGCAATTTAACATCGCTACAGTTTAAAACAATTTCTATGATTTAACACCGTTTTACTCCAAAATGAAAAGAAAACTTACTTCGAAGGGGGTTTCGGTGAGCAACAAGAAATTAAAGGAGAGAAGTTTTTGACATTTAAAGCCAGACGTATTCGCGCTACTCAATTCCGATAGTTTCGAACAGAAAAGACCTTGCAAATGATTTCAATGAAAGTTTAAAACCAAAATGAAATGGTTTTATCAATATTTTAAATGAATCATTCCAAAATGAACCAAAAACAAGCAATAGTTCAATGATCTTCAAAAGCCCGCAAATAATTAGACGTCCTTTGACCAATATAGCATAATTTTCTAGACATTTTCAGCCGGTATAGAAAATTATAACCAATGTCAAAAACCTAAAAATCAATAATTTTAGAATCATTTTCGAACCTAAACTTATGACCTGATCGCTTTGACTTATGACCTGATCGCGTTTGGATCAGTTTGTCGTTACTTGGGAGGGCAAACTGAGTGACCAAACTGTTTGTAGTGGGCAAAAACGCACTGGCAACTGCAACAGTCGGGGTGAATCTCTCGCTGAGATCTTTTATATGCGCTATGACATTTCGGGCTTCCAATTTTCCCGCTGAAAGGTCATGGTTATACTCTCCATGCGTCTCGATTAATTCGTTATTTTCAATAATGGCAGTTGCTCGACATTTATGTTTTTGATATTTTGATCAAATCCATTTTTCTGTGAACTTATTTTTTCGCTTGAAATAAAATTCGTGGCTGGACGCTATAAGAACTGGCTGGTTTTTAGATGAAACTGTGAATTCGAAAGAAGGCTCAATCATAATGTGTTTATTGTGTTTGCGTTTGTTTATCACTCAAGTAATGTTTAAAATGACTGTCAGAATTTAATTTTTGTCAGAATTTATACGTCAAATTGTTATGAGATAGCACAAGCTGCTTTTTTAGTAATCAAAATGGTTTAGCGAAAAGTCTAATTGAAAATAAAACACAAACTTGTTGATAGAACCCTAAATAATTTAAGAAGCCTCCTTTTAGCATGTATAATTAAGATAAACCAAGTTTCTCATTATGGTGCGTGCGTTTATTGCAGGATTAACTTTGGTGTGATAAGAGTTGAGATTAGAAATTCATACAGCATTAACTTTAATAACGAAATGACTAGGTGTTAAATTGTACTGTGTTAAACTGGAAAACAAGAGTTATGCCGTTGTTGATTTAAATTGATTACTAGTGAAATGACTTAGTGTTAAAATGTACGGTGTTAAACTGTATGTCAATAAGTTGTAGGACACCCATTATAATTTAGGAAGCCTCCTTTTAGCATGTATAACTAAGATAAACCAAGTTTCTCATTATGGTGCGTGCGTTTGTTGCAGGATTAACTTTGGTGTGATAAGAGTTGAGATTAGGAATTCATACAGCATTAACTTTAATAATGAAATGACTAGGTGTTAAATTGCACTGTGTTAAACTGGAAAATAAGAGTTATGCTGTTGTTGATTTAAATTGATTACTAGTGAAATGACTAAGTGTTAAAATGTACGGTGTTAAGTTGTATGTCAATAAATTGTAGGACACCCATTCCGGTTACTACAGTATTGGTTTTAAAAATTGTCAAATTGGCTGATTTATTTGAATAATGCTAATTATTTTGCTCTCTTTTAACACTCGCAAGCGGTCAATTAAATTGGTTTAATGTAAGGTGCTTCACTTTGTCTTATCATTAGAAAAAAAACTCTAATTTCATTAGAAAAAAATACGCTGTTGCCTTTTTGAAAATGTGGAGAAACTTTGTATTTGTGTATGTGCTATTTTTTGTTTTTTTTTCACGCAAAATCAGTTACCACATTTAATCAACGAAAAGAGTCGAGTGATTCATCAAGCAAAAACTCTTTCGTTAGTAATTTGATTTCAACCAAAAACTTCTGAAATTTTTTTATAATTTTGAGAAAAACCAGTATGAAGTTTTTGATTTTTGGTCTAATTTCAAGCTAAAAACGTGAGTGTGCAGGCTTATAATAGCTTTTTTATTTTTAAATTTTTCTGTTAAAACCTAATTTTACACGCTTTGAAGTAGTTTTTGGAGATTTTTTGCGCAAAATTGGGGATTAAAAACTTCAAAGTTCAAAAAACTTTGGTAAAAAAATTAAAAAATAAAAATTGTTGATTCTTTTGATCAATTTTTTGCTTCGTTTTTCTTGTCAGTTTTCTACAAAATCTATTTCCAATCAGCTTATTTTACTGTGATGGTCGAATATGCCTAAATTCTTTTTCTTGTTATATTCTTATATCACACCACGCAGAAAAAACGACACTAGTTTTAAGGTTACAAACTTTTTTTTAATGTTTCTTGAGACGACTATGGTCGGAAAATTCTGTGCTACTTGCACAATAACTGGCTATTCTTGTTATTATGTGAAATTTGTGCAAATTAAGTGAAATTAGTGAAATTTGTCCTTATTATAATATGCTTTTTAAAAAGATTCAAAAGCTATCTATATGTTCTAAGAGTTAAAATCATAATCAATTTGATCTGACAATGAAGACTCAATTAAGTATTTTTTAAATGCGTTGTTGCATTTTATAATTGTGGTCGATGAATTATTCTGGAAAAAAATATATAGAAACAAGTTCTGCAAAAAGAAATGGTAAATGGATATTCCAAATATTTGGATCATTTTATAGATCGATTATGATAAAATCTAAAAAAAGTCAAGTTAAATCAGCTTATCTGTATTTTTTTGTTAGATTTGTTAAAAACAGTCCAGTGTAAGTAGTCAAAACTGAAGCATATCTACTTTTCGAATAGAACATACCTTCTTTTCGTCGTCCGGAGGCGAAAACTTGATTTTGGTCAATGACTTCCTTTTAGATCTGTCCTCTTTTAAGGTAATCGAGTTTCTTTTCTCACGTCTTTTCACAGGAGGAGCGTCAACTAAAGAGAACCAAATATATAGAAATGGTATTCTAACCTCTCAGAGTTATTTTGCGAATCAAACTATTGAAACTGATTTTGCCAGTTATGACTCAGGAATTCGGACAAAATAGTTAAGGTTTCTTACTGATAACAGCATCATCCATGCCTTATAACGGTTGAACCGATATAAGGTCAACGCAGAAAATTTAGTGTGAAGAATTTGAATAATTCGTCCCAGTATGTGATGTTTGCTGAATCAAAACGAACTCATTTATAAATGCTTTTGGCGAGAATGTCGAAAGTTCTTAAAAGTTTACCTTGCCTTGCTTTTTGTTTGTATTGAAGCTTGAGCTGACTTGGCTATTTTTGAATTACTTTGATACGGCTAGAATTACGGTTATTGTTTTTGAAGCAATTTTAGATTTTCATGATCATTTTCAAAGGTGTCCGCTGTTAGATCAACTGGAACTTAAGAGAATCACTTTGGATCGGATTGGTAATATTGCTCCATGTTCCACGATGATTCAGCAATTCTAAAGGCGTACTACAATTGGATATTTTTGAGTTGATCTCGGGTGGGATCTTTAATCAGATGACAAGCTAACGAGTTAACGAGCAGTGACATCATTGCGACTGTTACATAACAAATTACCAATTAGTTACTTTTAACGAGGTCTGGCTCACAATTAAGTTCGAAACATTTCTGATGATCTGTTAGCTTTTGTTCTTCGCACATTATATGCCCAGCATCCGACTTATGCAAAGATTTCGGAATTTTAGAGAAATCTGTCAGTTCAAAGACTAAATTTCATGGTCAAAAAACATATATAGTGTTTTAAATAGGGTCGATTTTTAAGACCCTTTGGGTGGTCAAGGGTTGAATCGCTGGAGTGAAAGGAAAGAGGGTGTCAACTGCCCATATATCCTATACTGGCTGGAACGGTCTGCACAATTTGATAACAACCTGAATCATTTGTTATTTTGAAGCTGGTTTTTGGAGAAAGTATGATAAAGTCAAAACTGTTCGGGGGCATTTTTTTCATGCAATTTTAGTTAAACATGTTTAATTTTATCAAATACAGCACCCGTACTAAAATTTTTAGTTAAATTCAAATCTGGACATTGAAAACTCATACAAATTTCAGATCTGTATCAGTCCTGAGGCGTGTCTCTTTTTTCGCTGTACGTGTCTGAATCAGACATACATGTACAGATATGATAACTATGGCACAAGTCAGGTATGATCATGTCTGCTTCAGGTCTGGCCCAGGTATACCTCAGATCTGAATATACATGATCATACCTGGATCAGACATGATCATACCTGGACCAGACATGATCATACCTGAATTGTAAGACCGGGTCAATCCATGAGTCAAACGAAGCAAGCTTTGGTGTTAACTGGAGAAGCAAAAATCTGTTTAATATTGGTGCCAGGCAATGCCCAGCATGACAGATATTAAGCTGGCAAAAACAGACACTACACATGAATTTAGCCAGAAGGCCGAGAAGCGATAACTGAAACAAAGAATATTTTTTGTACACGCCTCAAAGAAACAACAGCTCGGACCATACAATTTTTAAACTATCCGATTGGATTGGGACCTTGTCGCTCCCGAAACAATTCATACAAGATCAAGTTAAATAGTTAAAAATAGGCTGTCATTATGACTTTTTGCCTTATCAAAACACCCTGCCGGCTTTTTGTTTTGTCGTAAGACTACAGTGGACTACACTATAACCATCTGCGTTTCTGCCGTTACATGGCGCTAAGTTTTCTACATGATTAGACCTGAAGCAGGTATAGTCATGTCTGACGAGGTATAGACATGTCTGACCAGGTTCAGTCATGTCTGACTCAGATATAGTCATGTCTGACTCAGGTATTATCTGCAAACAACAGAAGTGATCAGATGTGAAAGAGATATGCACAGAACTGAAAAACAACTAGTATCTGACAATTGTATGATCAGACGTGAAATTGTGAGAAAAGTTCGGTACAGGCAATATAAAAACAATTTGCCGAAAAAGCATGCGAGCAGTCTATATTATACAAAAATGGAAAAAAATAAATTTCACACCAGGAATATTGGAACCTTTTCAGCGCCTTCTCCAGAAATAAAAATATCATCAAAAAAATTTGCAAAGAAATGAAAAAATTAATTGATTTTATTTTTATAAATTTTTTTATTAATTTTTTGATGAAAATTACTGACAAATCTGCGTATTTTACTCTGACTGTTGAATTCATTATGCTTTACTTTAGATATTTAATAGCTAATAGCCTAACAATTAAAAAACATCACAGTTTGAAAAAAAAAACAACCGGCTATACTTTCTGAAAATGTTTATACTATAATTACTTAAAGTTTTATTGCTCCTTAGATCAGCCCCTAGGCTGAACAACCACAGTAGCTGAGCAATAAATGCTCTTATACGCAAGAAACTTCATTAAATTCAATTCCTTTTCAAAATAAAAACAATTTAAAGTTTCTGCTTTTATTGACTTTTAGTGTTCAAAAGGAATGAAAAGAAATTTCACTGTAAAATGTAAAGCGTCCCGCAAATATTGTATTATGTTTTAAAAGCTGTTTAAACTTAAGATACTTTCTTTTCATAAGATAGTAGACAGTGAAATGTACTGTTTATTCAACAAAGGTAAAATATAGCGAGGATAGCCGGTTACTGTGGAAGTAGCACAGAATGTTCCGACCACAGTCTTAGAAAAAAATACAAGAATGTTTTCTCAAAATAGTGGCGTTTTTTCTGCATGTTGTGATAAAAAATATGAACACAAAATAGAATTCAGAAAGTCATTTAAAAACATAGGTCAATTGAAAAATAGTTTTTAAAGAAAAATGACTAAAAAACAGAAAAAAAAATTTAAAAAAAATTTGCGGATTTTTTTTTTCAATTTTCAAGCTTTTGATTCCCAAAATTGGGCAAAAAAAATTCCAAAACTACCTTTACTTGATTAAAACTAAGTTTTCACGACTTAAACTAAGCTTAGATAAACCATTACAATTACTAACTACCTTACTAATTAGCTTGAAATTAGATCAACCTTCAAAAATATTAAACCCATTTTTTTCGACACTAAGAAATTTTTAGATATTAATGTCGTTCGAATCACGACTGAAAGGGTTTTTATTTGATATACCATTCTATCTTGTCCGGCGATGAGGGTTGGTTATATGTAGTAACGTTTAAAAAGCTTCTTGACTGTGATTTGAGCTCTAAAAGCATTTCAATTTTTTTTAAATTACTAACTACCTTACTAATTAGCTTGAAATTAGATCAACCTTCAAAAATTTTAAACCCATTTTTTTCGACACGAAAAAATTTTTAAATATTAATGTCGTTCGAATCACGACTGAAAGGGTTTTTATTTGATTTACCATTCTATCTTGTCCGGCGATGGGGGGGTGGTTATATGTAGTAACGTTTAAAAAGCTTCTTGACTCTGATTTGAGTTCTAAAAGCATTTCAATTTTTTTTGAGAGTTAAGAAAAACTGTTCTAATTTGTTTTCTTTCATCAGTTTGAATTGGATTAAGGCTGATAGAAGTTTGATTGGAGGTTCAGCTCAAATTGAAATTTCATACATTTTAACGTTACACTGCTGATATACGTTATCCGGACAAAATCAATAAAACACGAAATTAAAAAAGCGTTTTTCTCAAATTGGGTTGACTTTAAGTAAAAAATGATGAGGTTGAAACTTGCTTGAAAGTTGGGCAAAATTATTATGGAGCAATTTGTTTAGCGAAACTCGGGATTATTTTTGCAGACAAATTTTGACTTTAAATTTTTTATTTTTTGACAGACGTTATCAGCAGAAAGATATTGTTGTCCTAAGATGTTTTACCTGTGATTTGTTTCGTAAAATTATGCGGGTTTAAAGATTGCCAAGCATTGTGTTTCGCGCTATTCACGCTTAAGCGGAGGTTTAATCCTTATTAGAAATCGTTCCAAATTGAATTGAGACATTTTTAGTCTATTTAATACTAGGCCATATGCAACTTGTTCTTTACATAGCGTGTAGGAGAAAAATATTTAAATTTTTTTTTAAAAAAATTGAATTTTTTTCAATTTTTATTGAAAATTTTATTGTATTTGAGTGGGTTTACTTTTTTTTCTTTTTTTTCCAGGCAAGTTTATATAATAAAAACAATCATTGGAATGGATTGAAAGATAAACCGAGTTATATCTCTCAGTTTTTTTTTATCGACTATAAAAATTTTGACAACAATTCTTTTTTTCGTTAAAAACTCGTTTAAGTTTTTAGTTATGGTCTAAACTCGAGAACTCGAGCAAATGAAGCGAGGGGCAAGGAAGTTTGTTTACTCTTAAAATAAGCCATTCAAAAAAGTTTCTTTGAGCCAAATTTTAGTTTTATTCAAGTTAATTTTGTTTTCGTAGTTTTTATGACATCATTTTGGAAATTGAAAATATCAAAAAGTTTAAAAAATTTTAGAACAAAAACAGAAAAAAAATTGAAAAAAAATTCAATTTTGAAATTTTTCAGTTTTTCTAGTCGTTTTACTACATTTGTTTATTTTGATATGACAGTCGAATATGTGAAAAGTTTAGTTTTTCGTTCAGATGCTTTTCTCACAGCACGCAGAAAAAGTTACGCTTATTTAAAACAAAAAATTTTGGTAATTTTCTGAGGTCGGAACACTCTGTGCTACTTGCGCAAAAAACGGTTTTCCTTGTAGTTTTTTTTATTTGTGGAGCTAAAAATTAGTTTTAGATTTTTTTTTTATTAAAACGCAGATTTTAATATGCAATCATTTTTGTTTTTAATCACTACTCTGGTTAATTTTTATCCGATTGGTCCCAAAAGTCTTTTTTTCTCTTTGAAACTGCCCAAAAAACGTCGATCGAAACTAGAAATTCATTTTAAGTTTGGCGGAACAATGTTTTGTTTGTCTTTCACTATCGCTCAGATGCTTTCGTTCAGATGCTATTATCACATCACGCAGAAAAAATCACTCTAATAAAAAAAATGTTCTATGTGTAGAGCTAAAAATTATTTTGGATTTTTTTCATTAAGAAGCAGAGTTTAATATTCAACCGTTTTTGTTTTTAATTAGTATTCTGGTTAATTTTTATCAGGTTGGTTCCAAAATTTTTTGTATACTCTGAAACTGCCCAAAAAACGTCGATCGAAATTAGAATTTCATTTTAATTTTGCCGGAACTACAGTGCTGATTTAAATTATCCGGACTAAACGAACAAAACTTGAATTTTCAAACGCGTTTTTCTCAAATTGGGTTAAGATTAGACAAAAAGTGAAGAGGACAAAGGTTGCTTAGAAAATCACGAGAATTAATATGATGCCATTTTTTCTCCGAAATTCTCAACCAAAATTTTACCCCAAAAATGGGTCATTTTGGCTTTTTTCAATTAATCAAGAATTACGCTGAAACTACTTTGTTAATTGATAAGAATATTATATCATTAGAAGCCTCTTACGCAGCTCAACAAAGTTTAAGAAGGAATAAATCTCCAAAAACCAGTATGAGAGAAAAAATTTTCTTTTGATAATCAATAAATGTGATTCTTACTATATAAAACCCAGAATCTTTGCTTAAAAACAAATTTTACACAATTTGCGCAATTTTTTGGAGAATTAACCCTTCTTAAACTTTGTTGGGCGGCGTAAGAGGCTTCTAATGATATAATATTCTTATCAATAAACAAAGTAGTTTCAGCGTAATTCTTGATTAATTGAAAAAAGCCAAAATGACCCATTTTTGGGGTAAAATTTTGGTTGAGAATTTTGGAGAAAAAATGGCATCATATTAATTCTGGTGAAATTCTAAGCAACTTTGGTTTCTTCACTTTTTGTCTAATCTTAACCCAATTTGAGAAAAACGCGTTTGAAAAGTCAAGTTTTATTCGTTTTGTCCGGATAATTTAAATCAGCACTGTATATTTGTTTGTCATTCTTTTTCGTTCAGATGCTTTTGTTCAGATGCTTTTATGACATCAAGCAGAAAAAAACTATGCTAATTTTAAAAAAAATTTTCTTGTAATTTTCCAAGGTCGGATTACTCTGTGCTACTTGCGCAAAAGACTGTCATCCTTGTACTGTTTTTCTATGTGTAGAGCGAAAATTATTTTGGATTTTTTTCATTAAAAAGCAGATTTTAATATTCAATAGCTTTTATTTTTATTTACTACTCTGGTTAATTTTTATTGGACTGGTTCCAAAATTGTTTTTTTTCTTTGAACTGCCCAAAAACCATCGATCGTAATTAAAAATTTTTTCAATTTTGACGGAACTATGTTTTGTTTGTCATTCATTGATCAAATTTTCTCAGTTTTCACAGTGTCTTAGCTTAGAAAGTTCAAAGTTAGGTTTCACTTTAACTTTTTTATGGAGTTTAGATAATAATAATAATAATCATAATAATAATAATAATAATAATGATAATAATAATAATCATAATAATAATAATAATAATAATACGAAATATAGTTTTCGCCAAACGTCTTTAATTTTTAA